AAAAAAAAAAAAAAAAAAAAGTTAAAATGTTGCCACCAACCTCCAGCCTCTGTGACCAGACACCCACCAAAGCAACTTCCACACCTCTTTCGGTGGCTGTTTTGACACCGAACCCAGAGAAAGAGGAGCAGCCCCCAGCTTGAGACCTCATCCTGTAACAGGAGCCGGGCTTCCTGGCTGCTGCCGCGTGCCCCAGAACAGCTCTCCCCGAGCCAAGCGCAGTGCCAAGTGCAGTGCCTGCCGTTAGAGTGCGAGTCCCAGGATGCTTGCTGCGCCACCTGATCCTGGGTGGGTCACGCAGCTTCTGGGTGCTTCAGCGTCCTCAGCTGTCCAACAGCTTAATAATAGTGAGGCATGCTCTGACCCAGCGCAGTGGGTTTAGCCAAGAGAAGCCTCCCTGACAAGTTCAAAGATGGGACAAAAAGAGAAGAATTTTAAAGAAGAAAACCACACAGCACTGAAGTTTGTTATTTTGCGCCTGTTTCTCTTGTGCCCCAAAGCAAAGGAAAGGGAATATTTAAGGCCCCCAAGATAACGCACACCTACTTCTCCAGGTCTCCTGGTGCCTCTCTGTTGAATACTGCTCAGTCTTGTGAGCTGCTTTCATGCCAGTCCCCATAGCTTCCAAACCTGTGACCTGGAGGCTGCAGGGGGCGGGAGGCGGGGGGCGAGGGAAGGAATGGAGCGGAAGCCGGCTGTTCTCAAGGAACCACATGGGGTTTTAAAAGTGCCCACCCACCTCCACCTCCAGGTTCACCAGAGCTCTATGCAGCAGGAGAGGGGTAATTCCTCAGGAGTTGCTCTCATCAGAAAATGAAGGGATGGATTCTAGAGGGGCGCAAGCCATTGATGCCAAGTACAATATAAAAGCATTGCTGAATTTTTTTAGGAAAACAAAAATAAGTAAGCAAGCCTGCCTCCCCACACATGAATGGCAACAATTTGATTGACGCCAAGAACTGGGGGCCTTTGAGGTAGGGTTTTCTGGCTGGGCATGGAGATGAGGGCCATTGGTCACCAGTGGTTTGGGATTTCCTGAGTGAGTGTTGCCAGAGATGACTGAAGATTTAGCTGAGACAAGAGCCTCCTAATCCACACCCATGGAGCTGCTCATCCAACCTTATCTAACAGCAAGAAGTTGGAAACAACCTAAATATCTATCAATTGGAAACTGACTAGATCACACATACAATGCGATACTACTGTTCCATTGAAGGCTATTAAAAATGGGCTGGGCACGTGACTCACGCCCGTAATCTCAGCACTTTGGGAGGCCAAGGCTAGTGGGTCACCTGAGATCAAGAGTTTGAGACCAGCCTGGCCAACATGGCAAAACCCTGTCTCTATTTAAAATAATAATAATAATAATATAAAAGGCTATTAAATGTGTTACAGAGAAAAAAGAAAAGAAAAAAATGAGTTAGAGATTTACATATTTTGACATAGAAAGATGCTGCCATAATATAGTATCAAGCAAAGAAAGCAGCTGATGTAAAATGTGTGCTATTACCCCATGTAGGTGAATGGGAATCCACACATCTACATTGCATGTATGCATTGAGAGGTATCCTGAAAAACGTTCACCAAAATGTTATCTGCAGCTGCTTCGGGGATAAGATCTTGACTGATCATTTTCTTTCTTCCTTGTTCTCTTCTGCATTACTTAACTGTTCCTTTTCTCACAAAGAGCACTTCCTGTTTTAGAAAAGCACTATTAAAAATCCATCTCTCTAAGAAGTAACTTTCATCTTTTTATCTCGGTGGAAGTTCGTGATTAAATAGTGAGAAGGGCATTGAACATCTTCTTGATCTGAAGATATACTCTGATTAATAGAGAATAAAGCCCTCTCTGATTTCCTAATATCACATAAAACACCGAGGAGAAGGGAAGGGAGGTAGGAGGTCATCAAAAGTATTTCCCTTGACTCTGACAAAGCCTCTGTCCCAACTCCCTGGCAAAGAAAGCTGAACTAGCACATGTCTTATAAGGTCTGTTTTCCCTAGCCATCTCCTTCCCTTTTTCCTTTAGTACTTTTTTTCAAACATGTACTGAACAGATGGGATATGCGAGGCCTTCTTTCGGGAACTCATCGCCTCGTCTGGGGCCTATGCTTTGTTTCAGGCCTATTACTGAAAACAGTCATGGAAGCCAAGGTCATGGTGAAGGAAGCTGACTACCTACCTGGGGTCTTCTCGTCCATGGAGGGAGTCAGCGCTGATGACAGAGCATCTGAGGCCTCTCAGAGTGAAGTGCATTTGGAAAATGGTCCGTCCTCTGTGCTCACACGCAGTCTGGAGAGTCAGGTTGTCATCCACTCAACATCCATTCATTCAGCATTCACGGAGTGCCCGCTGACTGTCAGGACGGTGCTGGGTGCTGGCTCCGATGCAGTGAGCCTGGTACAATCTCTGCTCTCAAAGAACTTCCATCTTAGCAGGAGAAGTTTGGCAATCACACACACACACACACACACACACACACACACTTTAGGATGTAGAAGTGCCATGCAGGAAGGCTGAACGGGGTAAGGAGACTGAGTGACGGGGTGGCTGGTGCTGGGCAGGGCTGTCAAGAAAGTCCCCTTGGATAAGATGACCTCTCAACAGAAACCTGAGAGACGTGGGGAAGTGAGGATGGGGACGCATGAGGAAAGAACATTCCAGGCAGGGACAGTAGTGCAAAGGCCCTCTAGGAGTGTTCGCTCAATGCATTCCAGGGACAACGGGCAGGTCAGCGAGGCTGGAAGGGAGCTACCGAGCAGACTAGGTGGGAGCAGGTCAGCCAAGGGTAGAGGGGCCAGGCCCGCCAGCTCTGTGGGCTGCCGTAAGGACGGTGGTAAGGATGTCCTGAGTGGGATGGGAAACACAAGGAAGTGGAAACAGTTACATGACCTAACACAGTGGAGACTGCATTTCTGTTCTTTTTTTTCTCAAGGCAGGGTCTCACTCTGTCACCCAGGCTGGCATGCGGTAGTGTGATCACAGCTCACTGCAGCCTCAACCTCCCGATCTCAGGGGATCCTCCCACCTCAGCCTCCCGGGTAACTGGGATTACAAGCACGTGCCACGACGCCCAGCTAATGTATTGCAGTTTTTGTAGAGGTGGGGTTTCGGCATGTTGCCCAGGCTGGTCTCAAATTCCTGGGCTCAATCCATCCACCTAGCCTGGCTTCCCAGTGTGCTGGGATTTCAGGTGTGAGCCACCGTGTGCTGGCCATGCGTTTTGTTTTTTCTAGAAACAGTGGAGAAAAGAAGAAAAGATACCAAATAAATAAGAATTAAGAGACGTTATTTTTTAAAAGAAAGAGACTGTCCAAAAGGACTCTAAACTCCCCTGTGGGTTTCCTACTTTGCATAAAAGTAATTCTAGTTACCTTGTATGAATGAATGCCTTTTCCCAAAACTCATCATAAGCGGTATTCAGGAGATGGTCTTGGAAAGCAGAACTTGCCACAAGATGGTAATAGGAGCCTCGAGCAAACCAGTAAGTCCCGGTGAGTCACCGGGGACTCGTCCTTCCTTCTTGACCAGAGCGAACGGTACTTCCATCTTCTGTCTCTGAACCCGCCTGAAGGATAACAATGAGCTTGCGGTGGACCCTTGGCTGGCGCAAAGGATAGCAGGCTGCGGCTTTCTCTCTGTCAGTCCAGAGTCACCTGGTCTGTCACGTTTTATTTTTAGCACTAAATTATTTTTTAAAACCTGTTAATACTAAAACTATTTAAAAAATTAACAATAGCTAATATTTATTAGGTATCTACCGCACGCTTTACAAATATTACTAGTTTGAATTGTTATTAAGAATGCTTTTCGCCCAACCCTCAGGGCATGGAAGAAAAGAGGGGAAAAAAGAACCTTCAAGTGCTGCTGTGATCCCCATTTTAGCGCTCAGGACATTGAGATGTGCAAAGGCTAGAAGAACTTGCACCCAGTTTTACCTGTGGTTCACAGCAGAGCTGGAATTTAAGCTCACTGCTATCTGAATATAAATCCTATGTTCTCAGCCAGTAAGCTCTACTGCCCCTCACCAGTGTGCAGTGCCGGAGTCCAGCAGCGATATACAAGCACGGATCCTAGGTGCTTGAATTCAGAGACTAGTGGGGAGCCAAGACCAACGTAGAGAACCAAAGAGGGAGAGCGCAGCCGTGTAGCTGTGGGAGTGGCCAGACCCCAGGAGGAGGGCTTTGGGGAGCAAGTGCAGCAGGGCCTGAAGTGTCCGGATTGATCACTCTCACCCACTCACCGTTGCCGTGGGTAGGGTGCTGATCTAGCAGCCCCTCAATCGATGTGCATGCAGGCGTGTGAACGTGCGTGTCTATACTCAACGTGAGCCAGCTGGGAGTAAATCTTCTTCCGTTGGTAAAGAAATTATATCTGGCTGGGTATGGTGGCTCATGCCTGTAATCCCGGCACTTTGGGAGGCCTCCGGATCACTTGAGGTCAGGAGTTTGAGACCAGCCTGGCTAACATGGTGAAACCCCGTCTCTGCTAATAATACAAAAATTAACTGAGCGTGGTGGCACGCACCTGTAGTCTCAGCCACTCGGGAGGCTGAGGTGGGAACATGAACCCTGGAGCAGAGGTTGCAGTGACCTGGGATCGTCCCACTGCATTCCAGCCTGGGCGGCAGAGTGGGACTGTCTCAAAAAAACAAGTATGTTTGGACACCTAACAGCAACTAAGTTCTAGGCTCAAGAAGCCTGGAGCTTGATAAGGTGAGCCCGTAAGCAGCTTTTCCCAGCAGCTGCTCTCTGTGGAGCAGTCATTCTGATCCACGCGCTCTTCAAGGCCCTTGCCAAACATGAGTGTCATCCAGTCTTCCCTGCCTGGGGAGCTGGTTTCTCCATTCTACAGATGAGTTGAGTAAGGTGACCAAGGTCTAACAGCTCAGAGATGTAAGAGCTATGACCCTATCCCAGTTGGTTCAAAGCCAGTGACTTAATCTGATGTGTGCTTCCTAATTTCTAGGCACTCAGAATATACTCAGGGTAGTATAAGCGGTGTGTGTGTGCACATGTGTGTGTGCATGTGTGTGTGCATGTGTGTGCATGTGTGTGTGCATGTGTGTGCGTGTGTGTGCATATGTGTGTGCATGTGTGTGTGCGTGTGTGTGTGCGCGCATGTGTGTGTGTGCACGTGTGTGTGTGCATGTGTGTGTGTGAGAGAGAGAGAGAAACAGAGAGAGAGTGAGCTCTGGTAGGCACTGAAAATCCAGGCAGAGAGCAGGCCTAGACTTGTCTCCTCCAGCAGTGCTCAGAGGAGAGAAGTTTGGGGCTGTAATCCCCATCTCAAGTTCTGCCACTGTTTACTGAGCTACCTTGTACAGTCACTCTCAGAACAAAGCTTTTGCTCAAAGAAGCCCACACCTTCAGGCTGGGCGGGTGTGTCTGAGGCTGGTTTTCCAGGCCCTTTGGGCAGCAGCTGTACCCAGGACCTCCATGGGTGCCTATTCTGCCTCCCTGCCCTGCTCCACTCATCTGGGCTCACAGGATGGGCTCAGCTCTCTAGGTTCTTCATCCAGGGTCTCATCCCACCCTTGAAGTTCAGGGGAGATGGTCAGCAATGGTGAAATCACCAAGATGCTGGGAAGAGACGCTCTGGTAGGTTCAGCCCTCACGACCAAAAAGACTTGAAAGCCGTTTCCTTTCTACCGGTTCCTTCTGACCTCGAGGACGATGGCCTCTTAACTTCCAGCCTTGGAATGCATCCAGACATCACTTATTGAGCACCTTCAAGTCCTATTTCTTGTTTGTGTTTTTAAAAAGAAAGAAAGAGAGAAAGAAAGAAAAGAAAGAAAGAGAGAGAGGCTGGGTGCAGTGGCTCATGGCTGTAATCCCAGTACTTTGGGAGGTCAAGGAGGGAGGATTGCTAGAGGCCACAAGTCTGTGACCAGCCTGGGTAACATAACAATACCCAGTTTCTGACAAAAAAAAAAAAAAAAAAAAAAAAAAAAAAAAAAAAAAAAAAAAAAAAAAAAAAAAAAAAAAAAAAAAAAAAAAAAAAAAGAAAGAAAGAAAAGAAAAGAAAAGTAAAGCAAAAAAAAGCCAAGTATGGCGACGCCACATTCGCCAGGAATAGGCCTGTAGGCCAGCTACTCAGGAGGCTGAGGTGTGAGGCTCACTTGCACCCAGGACTTCAAGGGTGCAGTGAGTTATGTGACCGTATGATCATACCACCGTAATGTACTCCAGCCTGGGTGACAGAGCAAGACCCAAGACCTTATCTCAAAAAAAAAAAAAAGAAAGAAAGAAAGAGAGAATATTTGTTTCCTCTTAGATGCAAAAGGCTTTGTCTATTCACATTGGTATATGAGCTTGTTTGCTATGAGTGGACATCTGAAAATCTCAATTTATTGGGGCCAATTTAAGCTGATCTGAAAAGTTTAGAAGTTTCCTTTGTATTATAAAGCATCCAAGTATGATCCTCTTTATGTAAAAGGGAACCCACACATCACCACTGTATGTATGCATTGGGGGGTATCCTGAAAGATGTTCACCAAAATGTCACGTGTGGTGTTCTTCAGAGGATGAGATCTTGAGGGGCTTTTTCTTTCCTTTTTTCCTTGTTCTGTCCTGCATTGTTTAGGGAAGTGCTAGGGAGAGAAAGGTAAGCACCATCACCTTCTTACTCTTTTAAAACCTTCCCACTGGAGCACCTGCTGGCACAGAGGAGAGTCCATCTGAGTGCCCAACATAACCCAGCAAAAAGGCTTGTGTTAATTGTTCAACGTCAAGCAAATGTTGTATTATACGCCACAATATATTGTTTAAGCCTAAAAGTGTTCTTGGTTATTTACCATCAAACAAAGTTAATGCTTCAGGAAAATTCTCCAGGTTTACCCTGTGGCTCTTTCCATGTCTCCAGTGTAGACTGTCAGGACCTCTAGGACTGGGCAGCAAGGAGGTGACAGTCAGTCCCAGTCAGGGATCCATGGACTTTTGGATTCTCTGCTAGTCTCCTCTTTCAATTGTAGAAAGCTCCCTGGCAAGAGATGCAGGGCTCCTTAAATCTGGACGTGCCAGTCAGGAAGGCTAGAAATGGGCTTTATTAAAAAGGGGTTTTAGAATTCTTTAACTGGGTGCTCAGGAAAACTTGCAAGCTCTAGAAAAATCTGTCGCATTAATAATTCCACTTCAGTCCTTGATAAGGCCCTACAGCTATCTCAGACATGCCTCTGGCCCCTTGGACTAAGGGTTTATGCTTCTTGACTTTTGCTCTATTTTCTGGCTTTTCCGGACTGGCAAAGCCTATTTGACCAGTCAGGCGAAGCTAGTCTTTAAACCCTAATGCCCCGAATTAGCCATCTTGAGAATAACAGCTGATACCACTGACAGTAGCCAAGACACAGCCCAGAGTGACACATGACCTAAGCCTTCACCCAGCTACGGCCAGTACAGAGTCACCCAGCTACGGCCAGAGCAGA